TCTCTCTCTCTCTCTCTCTCTCTCTCTCTCTCTCTCTCTCTCTCTCTCTCTCTCTCTCTCTCTCTCTCTCTCTCTCTCTCTCTCTCTCTGAGAGACATACACAACCAATCAGGCACATCCACTGAAGCGAACACACTCAAGTGCATGCTAGGAGGTGAGGAAGGGGAAGCCAGCAGGGGTGGGAGTAACGGGGAGGGCTGGGAGGGCATGAAGCAACTGATCTTGAAATGCAAGAAGATTTGTAAATGGGGTAATCGGATGACCAAGTGTGTTGCCAGTTCCTGTGAGGTAGAACACGAGTATTACGGAAGACAGAGAACATCCACACAGTGAAGGCAAGGAAAACAGACTGAAAACGTAAAAAGTTACGCACCGTCGTCCATTTAGGTCCCTCCCCATTTCTTTTTCAATTGCCTGCAGATCAATCAAGTTGATACAGTGTCCCAGCGGCGTATCAATTTAGTAGAAGCAAATTTCTATCTAGTACATAATGAAAATCCTAAATCCTGCGAACCACAGTAGACCATCGCCCCTGACTCTGCTGGACAATGCATCCTCATGATTAAGGAAGAGCCATTCTAATCTGTCTCCTCCTCTTTTATAATTCCAATTCAACGACTTTCAATCAATTGTGAACTTAGAAATTTATCACTGTTAGGATGTAATTGTGCTTCATTATGTGAGCATTCAAAGCCAAACCAACCGCACGGATCCGCGTTTCACGCTCGCGTCAACAAGACGACCAGGGCTGTCTGAACTTGGTGTGAGTCTGATGGTGGTGTGCCATCCACAAAATCTGGACAGTACGTGAAAAGGATCATCCCCTTTGAAAGAACCCCTCCCAGATTCAGCACCGCCGCATTGACTCATCATATACCTAGACCTACCAGTACACGGGGACTTGGCCACTGTGTCACGCCGGTTAGCATGGGGCTGACGTCCGGTTCAACCTACCAGACTAGAAAAAGGCTGGCAGCCCCAGTAGGCCCTGACCTGGTGACAGGTTCGGTAGTCCAGGGGTGAGCAAAACTGAGCATTGGGAAAAAAGAGCTGTGGGGCTGCTGGCGATTTGATCAAGCACTCAAGCAACACTTTCAAGGGTATAGACGACCACACTAGGACTCTCAGGGATGTATCTAACAGCAGCTGTGACCAAGTTCAAACCGAAAAGTCTGAGCGTGCCCTGACACACTCACCATCATGTTGCTCACCAGCAGACCTCAACCTATGTGTCACCTGCGGTCATGACCGCAGCCGCAGATGGCTGCGGTCGGGTTGCAGTCACGGGGCTTCAGAGATTTACCCCGGCCCGAAAAAAACCAAAAAAATTGGGGTTGTAGGGTTTCCCAAACCCTACAACCCCATTTTTTTCTCCCCCGAAACCGATAAGTTTTGCGTATTTTAACCACACCCCATACCCCCAAAGCCCATCCAACCCCCCCCTTGCCCCC